TTTTTTTCAAACAAAATTTGTAGAGAATTTTGTATTCTACAATATTGATAATGAATACAAATAGCAAAAAACTCATAGGAAATGAGATATTTCCAAAAAAAGCGCAAAAAACCGATTTTTGTGACCTTTGACCTTGAAATTTAATAGTTGCTTACACCCTACTATACCATATGTAGGTTTCGAGACAACTTTTAGGGTGTCAATATACGAGTATTTACAGACTTACAGCTGGGTATCTCGAATTCCGAGGTGAACTTACTATAATCACTGGACTATGACTCGCCTGGGGCTAATGAATGCTTAAAACCGACCGACCCTGAAAATGTATTTTCTGATTGTTCCTTTATGAACCTCAATTTTGTCTACTGGTTCGCATATTATCCTCAAACATTCCTATATTTCTTTTCAATTCCTTGGATATGCCACAAACGCCATCGTATATAGCATGCTGCTGAAAATCAGTGTGAATAATTTCTGTATTTGTCTACATAGGTATTTAAATCATTTTCAATTCAAAAACAACAAGTGATTCAATGAACACTCACCAAATCTGAACTTCCACAAATCATTGCAAGTTTGACCACTCCGCTCACCCCCAAATACCAGCATGCAAGAAGATGGCAACTTGCAAGCCGCGTGACTATGTAGTGGTCCAGGATTGATTTTGCTCTTGACACAATGCCAAGTTCTCGATGAAATGTCCCATTTCCAGAGATCCGACCTCTCTTGAAGGTCAGTCATGCCGCCGTATATCCACATCGATTCTTCTTGGAGGACAGCCGAATGTTTGTGGCGAGGTGGAGGAGATTGGTCTGATCCTTTGCTTGGTGAGGTCGATACTAAGTGCCATGATCCTGTGTCTGTTGAAATAAGGAAATAAATAAAATGAAGCATTCACAAGTATTTACTACGATTTCTCTGATTCGAAAGATACATCAAGAAAGTGTCAAACTTTTGCAGAAATGTCGAAAAAAATGTTTAAAAGCAGTAATCTGTAAAAATCAACTGAAACATGCTACCACAGTTTTTTTTCTAAACCCAGATGTGCCCAATGTCCTACACGTAGTACACCTCAAAGTTGGAATAAAAACATT